TTAGACAGCACACACGGTCGGACGATGTCGGGCGTGAAATGTCTTCATGGCCCTTGGACAGCACACACGGTCGGATGATGTCGGGCGTGGCATGCCATCATCAATGAGGAAAGTTACCTAGTTGATCCTGCCAGTAGTCATATGCTAGTCTCAATGATTAAGCCATGCATGCGTAAGTATGAACAAATTTAGATTATAATGATTATTCCTAAGTGACTTAAAGAATGACATATAATGTGGTAAAGTAAAGTATGTTGTGTCTTGTCTTGGTTGACTTGTGTCCCTTACTTGATGCATGTATGAATATGAATATGAGATGTCTTAACTTTGGATGCTAAAGTCTCTAATGATATGTGACCTTAAATGATGTTAGGAGGGTCCTTTATGTGAAAACTCAAAAATAGTGGCAAGTTTATGAATGTTGAAGTCCAAAGCCGTAATGGCATCTTTCAAGTAAAGGAATGACACACTTAAGGTTGATTGTCTTGAACGGCATCATATCAAACCTTAGAAAAGTCATGATGATCTTCTTGTCGCCATTATAAGGTAGCCCTAGAGGAATGTGATTGAGTTATGAACTAGATATGGAACCCCATTATGTGAACCTTTAATGAAAATTACTCTATGATAACAAAGGGTAGCATGTGTGAGTACGGTAAGGGAAGTAGTTCTAGTTAAAGGATGAGACTATAATACAATGCACTCCCTTCATAATCCTTAGCCATGTACCGACATGGGATGTGTCCAAGTTCTACAATTGGCAAGTAGAACACCCTCATCGGAGTAGGTTAGAACCCGAAGTACATGCTTTGCTACTATGGTCTATCTCTGTTGTTGCCTATTCTCATCATCTGAGATACTTACTAGCATTAGAGATGTTCTATGAAGTTTAGGTGGTGATATGAGAGTTATCTAGATATTACACAATAGGCTTTGAAGGTGTTAGTTGGAGTTCCTAGGTCTTGTCCAAGACCCTTACTTGAATGTCTTTATGTGATTAATGATTCTTACATGATCTAATGAATATAATAATTTAAGTTAAGAAAGTATGTTAAATGAATAAGTACTTATCTAGAGTAGTTAAGAGTTGTCTAGTTAAGGTGTAAAGGGGGCATAAGAATGGTCACTTGTTATCTTACCTAGATAAGTCTTAGGATTTCCTCTAGTTAAGGATGATGGTGTTTATGTTCACATGATCCACACTTAGGTATTCTTAAGGATTACTTAGGTAATATTGAAGAGGTCAATCATGGACGTTATCTTCTTGATTTACTTAAGTAAGTATTTTGATAACCTTTATAGTGGAGAATGTCATGTTATATGTATGCTAATGTATTAAGTGAGAATGATTCTATCTTAGGTAGTCTATAGGATCTCTTAAGTGTGTGTGTAAGGGATTGTCTGGGCGGTCGCTTCACAACTTACTCAAGTGAACCTTAGAATTCCCTTTTGTAGGAGGATCTCATCTTCATATGTTTGATTTCTTATAAATGTATGTTGATCTCATTATGGATGGTCTTAACGATAATTTAGGTGTGCCTAAAGAGGGTGTTTGGGAGGTCTCTCTTTGTCTTACTTAAGTTAGTCTTAGGATAGCTTTTAGGGGGGGAATTATATGATAATCTTAGGATATCTTTTAGTGGGGGAATTATATGATAATCTTAGGATAGCTTTTAGTGGGGAAATTATATGCTAAAATGTGTGTGAAGTGAAGCTAATGAACTTCACTAGTGAACAAGTTCACTTCTCTGTTACAGTGAAGTAAGCTCACTTTAATATTTCCTAAAAATGTCACTATTTTCTTAAATGATTTCTTATGTGTTTATAAGTTGTTAAATATTGTTCTTATGACTATAGCATGACGTTTTAATAAAAAATTCATGAGAAGCATCGTATTTATTAAATGTTCTTTTTTCATGGTTTTTGCATGGCTTCCATACTTAGTGCATCTAATGTGTTAACCCCTTCTTTTTCCTTTTTGACTAAAGTGTAGGGAATTGGAAGTATTGATGTGCCATGGAGAATGGATAGGTTTCTAAGGGTTGAAGATGAAGTATTGGTGAGTCCTTATTGATTCGAGGAAAATATCCACACGTGTTCCTTTATATATTAATCTTTATATTATGTCTTTTAGAAACTCCTAATGTCGTTGGAGTCAATGGTCTAGGAAAATTCTTGACCACCTCGATTTCCTAGGATCAACCTCAAGTACCTCACTAGAGATGATATGACCAAGAAATGCTACCAACCTTAACCAAAACTCACATTTGTTATACTTGGAAAATAATTGGTTCTCCTTAAGCACTTGAAATACAACCCTCAAATGGTTCATGTGGTCACTCTCATTTTTCGAATATACCAAGATGTCGTCAATGAAGACAATGACAAATGAATCTAGGTAACTTCGAAACACCCTATCCATGAGATCCATAAACGCTGCCAAGGAATTTGTGACACCAAAGGACATTACTACGAACTCATAGTGAGCATATCTAGTCCAATATGCCATATTTGGTATATCATCACCTCTCACCCTAAGTTTGTGATACTCCAATCTCAAGTCAATTTTTGGAAAGTAGCTTGCCCCTTGGAGTTGATCGAACAAGTCGTCAATTCGAGGGAGAGGATACTTGTTCTTCATTGTGACTTTATTGAGTTAAACGATAATCAATGCAAATACTAAGGGACCCATCCTTCTTCTTCACAAATAAAACCGAAGCACCCCATGGAAAAATACTAGGTCTAATGAAGTCTTTGTCTAATAAATCCTTGAATTGAGCCTTCAAATCTTTCAATTCGGCCGGAGCTATCCGATAATGAGGAATTGAAATGGGATATGTATCCGGTAACAAGTTGATACCAAAATCAATTTCCGTTCGGGAGGAATACCTAGAAGATAATTAGGAAAGACCTTTGGAAATTCACTCACTAAGCGGACCGACTCAACGGAAGGAATTTCAGAGTCTATATCTTGGACTCTTACTATATAATATAAACAGTCTTTAAAGATCATTTGCATTCTTTCAAACAGGAGATGATACGACCTCTAGAATAGAACTCCCCCCTTCCACTCTAAAACGGGATCATTTGAAAAGTTAAACTTCATCACCCTCGTTCTACAATCTAAAGAGGCAAAGCAAGAATGCAACCAATCCATACCCAAAATCACATCAAAATTGATCATATCAAGTTTTACTAGTTCAACATAAGAAACTCTATTGGGCAACATTTTAGGACAATTTCTATACAACTTTTTGCAACAACCGACTCACCCAATGGGGTAGACACTATAAAAGGTTCATGCAAAATATCACGCAAAATGTAAAACTTTTTAGCTACTAGAGGGGTAACAAATGATAAAGTAGCATCAGGATAAACTAAAGGCATATGCATCAATAGAGAAGAATTTCAACATACATATCACCATTGAAAGAGAAGTCTCTTGCTCACCCCTAGAGTAGAGAGAATAGAAGCGGTTCTTCTTTGGAGACTCATTTGAACCACTCGCTTGAACTTGACCACTACCCTTGTCTTGACCCCTCGCGTTAGTACGATCCCTAACCTTGTGCCCACTTTTTCCACAACAAAAACAATTATCCGTCCGTTAAGACAATCACCATAGTGCTTATTGCTACACTTTCCATAAGTTGGTTTCTTGATTTGTGAACTAGTACCCTTTCCCTTTTAAGGCTTAGGGTTAGACACCCTATCATCCACAGCCTTAGGGAAATTAGAACAAACTTGATTAGTAAACCTCTTCTTGAATCTAAGTTTGTCTTGAATCTCAAGCCTTCCCTTTGAAGAACCCCCATCAAAATATCTTGCCCTCTTGGCCTCTCTACTCTTCATTTTAAACCTTTCCTCTTCCACTTTTTAAGCATGAACCATGAGACGAGAAATGGTCATATTGTCATTTAGCATAGCCGAATGACAGTCTTCTTGCAAGTCATGTGACACTCCTATCACAAAGAAGTTCATTTCATGTCTAGGATAGGAACCAAAAGAAGGAGCATGTTTTGACAATTTAGTGAATTTCAAAGAGTATTTAGGAACACTCATACCTCCTTGGCGAAGGTTGATTAACTCCACACCTTTGCTTACCTCTTTTCTATAGGAAAGAACCTATCAAGAAATGCCTTCTTGAACACTGACCAAGTCACCGGTCCACCTCTTAAAGGTCTATTGTCCCTCCATTGAACGTACTATGTTTGAGCCACATCCATGAGTTGGTAAGTGGAGAACTCGGCTTTCTCTCTAGTAGACAACCCCATAGCATAGAGAATCGTGTAGATATCATCAATAAACTCATAGGGGTCTTCTTCAACCTTGGACCCATAGAAAGTAGGAGGATTCATCCTAGTGAAATCCCTTCAACAGGAGGCAATGGTAGCAACTTGTTGAGATTCCTTTAGTACAACCTCCCAGTTATTTTGGGCCGTCATGGCTTGATATTCAGTAGTGGAGACTTGTGCTTGGCTAGTGATGGCTTGGTCCATGTAGTGAATAGCGTCTCTTATGTTCTCATTTGTCAAAGGAGGAGGATTCGTCGGTGCTTGGTCATGATTCTCATCTTCCTCAAGAGGAGGAAATCTATCACCTCGAGGAGGAACTCCCGCATTGGCAATATCTCTTCAAGTCTTCGTGTTGAATTTTCTTTGAGTATTCATTTCCCTATAATCCCAATAATAGTATCAGATGCAAAATCACATAGAACTAACACATCCAAAGGCACGAAATTGGACTTCAAAGAAAGTGAGAGTTTCCTAAGAATCATATAGGTTCATATCCATAAGTGTGGCGCGCTTCACAATTATGAATACGAGCTTACCTCTTTGAGGACTAAGACTAGCCTCTTAGCTTTTATCATTACATTCATAGATCTAATTTAGCGGAAAATTTCAAACTTTTCATTACATCTCCTCAGAGGTTTTAGTCTTCTCCTTTTATTGCACATAAGTATATAAAATATAAGATACTCATAATAGTTGTCTCATCTCACAACAATCTAATAAGTGTTATAACTTGGGCATAACCCATACATCAAAGAATGCCTCATGCGGGCTACACAACGTTTCATACTAAATAAAAAGGAAAGAATATAATAGTCTTACAGTGAGAAAAAATCCATTACATAGATAATGGCATCTCCCTCTGAAAGTGAGGACCTACCGTACTTGGATGAATGAGAGATCCAAGCCTTCTTTAAGTCGTCTTCAAAGCACTTAAATGATTGTAACCTAAAATATTGGGGAAAAGGAAGAAATGAGGTTAGTACACCACTTGTACTAATTATGGGACCAAATGCACACATACATTGAAAACATGCTAAGAAAGGGGACATTTTATAAAGTATGCACTTTTCATTTAAAATCTCTATGCACGCCAACAAGACCATACCAACCAAATAATGCATGTTCATTAAGTCATAGGCATGTACATCACCAGATTAACAAAATCAAGTCTATTCAAGTCAACATGCATAGAATATAGTCAAATACATACCAAAGTATCTCTTTCATCAAGTCATATTAGAAACAAAAATGAATAAGAGTACATTTCAACATAACCAAAGCAAGACAATTGGCATAAATCCTTTTAAAGTCAACAAGTGCAATGACCAAGCAAATCGCCTACAAGAATAATGACTAACATTATACTTCACATATTATAACATTTAAGAGTACATAGTATCATACTTTAACAATATAGACCAACAAATAATCATAGGTGACACCAATCAACATATAGTATCAACAATTTGCAAGTTCATTATATGCATGTCATATAGCATTATAAGCATTTTCATACATAATAACACCCTTCTAAGACTCCCTTCAAGGCTAACTAGTGTAATGTTTAGGTAGTGTCCCATACCCCTACCTAGACTAAGCTAACCCTTTAGGTATTCCTAGTTAGAGTCCATAACGTTAATTCATTTTACTTATTGGGAACATCTTGACCTAATCGACATAGACCACATGAGCTAATGTGGAATCCGGTGTCGTGGAACCCTACACCGAAAGAAGGAGGACTACCTTCCAAGGTAGTACCAAAACATGAACAAAGCAACTACTACATCCACTAGATAGTATTTCTATGGGGGCAACATAGTTCAAGAATAGGAGATATAGTTGGCACCCTCTTTATGCTATATGCATTATTGTCTCCAATCTCAAGAGTTCATTATTGATCCTAACTTCCCTATGTGGGAAGGAACACTCCTCACTCTAGTTCACTCGGTGCTAAGCTAGAGTTCTTTTTTGAAATGTCTTTAATGTCTTTATTAATCATCATAGCTTATTGTAGATCATAGGGTCTAACCCTTGTATAACATCATAATCATCATAGCTCAGTAAGAATTTCATGAGTATTATCTTTTCATTACAATTCATATAGGTGAGGTGAGCACATTAACATTCTCATATCATGATAAGGAACATTGTTAAATCTTTCACCATAAGTATAATATTTAAATCTTAATCTAACATCTCACAATTCATAGTCAATGCATTTCAATTCGACATCATACAACCCTATCAATCCTTATACAAGGCATACTCCAATACAATATCATGACTTAATCACCATTAACAACAATTTGAAGTAAAGGATAGGGATCATAAGAGTTATCAAGTCTCCTTCATAGTTCATCATCAAGGTCTTACCACAAACCCTCAATTTAACCCAATTTTGATATACATCATCATAAGTCAATAACCAATATGATAACAAGTCTAGAAGAAGCATTATATCACAATTCAATACTAGATCGTAGCTTAAGACAAGATACTTAGGTCAATCGTCAACATACTTCATAACCTAGATCATGTTCTAAAAAATAGCATGAAAGACTATAATTCACCCTAATTCATTCATGATTAGTGAAACAACATCATCAAGTATTAATTCAATCAATAACCAAGTCACTTGAACCAATATAACAGATAGTGAGTAAGTCATCTGGAAAGTTGGTCAAGCATTTCAAAATGTTAATAAATTTAGCTATGATTTGACCAACTATGCATTAAAGAAAGGACCCCAAAAAGAAAAGGACAAGAATGATCAAAATCAGGTAAGGGCCAACTATCGGAAGTGTATAGGTCATGATGGTTGTTTTATCGAAGTCTGATTCCTCTAACCATAATGGTGCTTCTAGTCTGAGGAAGGAGTACAAAGTTCGAATGCTGAACTCCACAAATTCAAAAACCTTCAACATATACAATGGGCTTGAAATTTATTTTTCTATGTGTTAATTTGTGTAAGACCACTGCTCGTATAGCAACAGTTGTAGAATGAACCCAACTTCCCCGCATAATTTTAAAACCAAACAGGTCAAGTTTAGTTACAAAGAGCTAGTTTCATAATTAAATGAGTTGTGTCACTATTAAAGGGTTAAAGCCATAATTATGAAATAACAAAGAAAGAAAAAAATAACCTAAATATATGACTATTGTGTCTAAGTAGTGCACCTTCTTCTATGTGGTTTTTCCAATGGAGATAATTCAATAGGATAGTCCAAGACAATGGTCGTTTGTAGAAGCTTTGGTTCTACTACCATCTAAAAGACCTGAACATGGTAACATCACAAAGCAGTATACATAAACAGAACCATCTGAACTAATAAGATACACTAGAATGTGGTTAAAAGCTGCTAATTTTATGTATCAGCAAACTGGAAAAAAGAAAATACTAAACAACATTATTCAAACTTCATTAAGCAAATCCGAACTTCTTTCACAAGATCATGAATATTTCCCTCCTCGAAGGTCTTTCCAAGCAGATCTCCACACCCTGTAACAAAGAATAAAGTTTGATTCCTTCAATTAAAGTTGAGGTAAGAGAATAAATTAGATAAGATATAAAATGGGACCAAAATCCTATTAACCGAAAAACTCATAATTCACTGAAAAATTGGTTCAACTCATTATGTGTAAATCTGACCATATTCAAAAATAAGTGCAAAAACATTTCAGATACTCAGTAAAACATATGCAGCATATGAAATGGCATGAGCTAGGATCTCTGGAAAAGATAAAATAAGACGAGATGGTTTGCTCCAACCCAAGGAAATAGGTCAAGTATCGAAATAGTAATTAAAAATGTTTAGTTTAACATTTTTGGGCCAACATTGTTTAACCATTCAAAATTATTTTGTTATGATGACATAATATTTGGTCACCAGAAACAACATGGATGAGTAAAGAAGATACTGGCACCTATTAATTGAAATGGAAAAGGTGCCAAACAAAATAACATAATGCCATTTAGAAAGATGAAGTTAACATGATTCCTCTTACCTCTCATGGTCCATTCTTGTAGCCAGATAAAGAAAGAACTAGTTTGTCTTCTAAGGAAACTCAAAAGAACAATCAAAGCCAGAAGCCACAAGTTCAATCAATTCTTAGTATTATGCCTCTAATATAAGAATGGTTGCCAAGGTCAGGCATATTTATTAAGAGGGAGCTTACATTTATCATCATTCAAAAATTGCAGTTCTTTAATGCTCCTTTTAAAATCTCCCAGCCACTTATCCCAAGACAATTTTCTAGGGACCCTTCAAGTCATTAGGAAGCCATAATCCGGTGAACTTCCTTTGCCAGAAAACTCAATCCCTTATTTTTCTTCTTTCTTATTCTTTCTTTCCCATGGATAACAAATATATTTCAGATTTGGGGTTAAATCATACGATATTATTGAGTTTAGAAATACGAAAGGAAACTTGTTTGAGTTGGTGGAGAGTGCAAAGCCATACGTGAGGAGAATGAAGCTGAGTAGGGATGCTATATCATGGATATGAAAAAGGCTAGGGGAAGCGTCTGTCATTGAAGATACGTCATTTAAGACTTGGAGATGCAAGGAATTTTCTACCTACATTTATTGCTCATTGAAGTTCAATAAATATGATAGGTTCATCTCAATCGTTTTAGTTAATGGCCATGAACGTTCGGTGATTTATTTTACCAGAGAACATCTTTAATGAGGGTTGGGCTGTTCTATCAAAAAAATTGAAAGCTTCATCATTAAGGAGATAAGACATGTCACTAAGTAATAGGGGAACTCTGCGTTTATGAAGCTTAGGGGAGAGGAAAGTTATAAGGAGGTCATTCAAAAGATAAAATGGGGGGTCATATCTGATGTGAGAGCAGAAAATCAGGAGGAGATACTCTGCGAAGAAGAAAGGTTTCTTAGCAGATGGTTGGTTTTAGCTTCCCAGAGGATGACAAAATTCCCTCATGGAACAAAGTCAAAAGGTGGTCTATTCAAACATGGAAAGGCATCAATAATGGCAACAGTTACGATATGAATGTTATTCAGTTTCTTTTCGAATTCCAGTCAAGAAAGGAAGCAGAGCATATATTTATGGGGAAGTGGACAAGAAAGAATACCATTTGCAGATGGAATGGTGGCCTCCAAAAGCAGGAACGATGCAAGCCAACAATATTCTCATTTTCTGCCCCTATAAAATTCCATATTACAACTTTATACATTGATCACTTGAAGTTGTTGTACTCCCCCTATTTCTCGGTTAGCCATCTTTAAAATTCACATTAAAAGCCAAATTCCTAACTTCATTTGGGGTGTTATTGGAGTTATTTTCATTTATGTGTTTCTACATATTTTTATCAAGGAATTAATTCTTTTTATCAATTTTTAGAAATAATTCGAAAGCAGTCTTGTCACATCCTTCAAAGGCAGTACCATATGATGTGCTAAGTCGTAGGATATTCTTTTGCACCCATAAAGAAGCTTTTTCATCAATGGCTTCTTCTCAGAGAGAGTCATCACTGGCAATAGGAAGAGGCTCGTCAAGAATTACCAGTTGGTACTTGGAGAGTTCTCTTGTATAGACTTCCACATCATCCCCGGTGTTAACTCTTTTCTCGCAAACTAAGGGAAGTATTGTCTCCTCTGCATAGTGTGAAGGATCAACATGCTGCATGTCAATGAATTCAATTGTGATGTTGTTCGGTTGATTATGAGTCACTTGCATGAGTTCTTCATGTTCTGTAAATGATGTCATGAAATTCTCTATATAGGTTCTGTTGTTGAAATTATCCCCGATAAGAGGTTCTATAAACAAGATATAAATTGACCTGAACTCTCTACCCAGGCCTCCACATGTCTTTTTCCAGATGAATTTTCACAAGTCACGTGCTCACGTTTAACCAACCGTACAAGACCCGCATCGTGATTGACTTCTAGACAAAAGCTCTTATTGCCTTTCCTTAATCTCTCTTCCATCTCTGTCATAATAATCACCCTCAAAAGTGGGGTGCAGAAACACTATTGATCAAACAATTGTGGTTCAACCAATGGCTGGGAGAAATACAGTTAGAGACTGTGGGGAGAAGTTGGGGTATAGTAGTGTTATGGGACAAGAGAATGTGGAAAGGTGAATTGGTGTAGGCTTATGGAAAAGTAATCACATGTAGATTTGAAGGCATTATTACTATGAACTTAACTTGGTTCCTTAGTTCAACTTATGATGATGCTAACGAAGTCAACCGAAGGAGTTGTGGACGGATCTAATCAATCTAAAGAACACATGCACATGTCCTTTGTTGTTTTGTGGGTATTTAATATGACAAGATATCCCACCAAAGGATCAACTAGACAATGATTAAAAGAGGCTATGTCTGATTTCACAGACCTGATAAATGAGATGGAGCTAATTGACCCTCCTTTATTTGGAGGATTTTACACGTGGAGAAGGGGTGAAAACCATTCAACTGCTTTTATATTGGATAGATTTTTTTACTCTCATCATTAGGACGACTCTTTCTGACAAATTAGACAAAGTATTCTACCGAGACTAGAGTTTGATCACAATCCAGTGTTGCTAACTTGCGGGGAGATAGAATTGATGAAATCTTATTGCAAGTTTGAACAATGGTGGATGCAAGTAGAAGTTTTCAGGGAGAAGGTAAAAGTTGGTGGTGTTCGTTCTCAGAAAATGGGACCCCTCTAATATCTTAGCTTACAAATTAAAGTTAATTAAAGGGAAGTTCAAACAATGGGGATATGAAAACATAGTCAACTGGAAACAAAAGAAGGAAGAGATACTCAATCAAATTGCTGGTCTTGAAAAAATACAAGAGCAGAGAATATTTATTGATGATGAACACTTTCAAAAGGTGTACTCCTTCATAATGTTTATCTATCTTGGAAATTTCATGAAGCTTCCAAGAATGAGGAGATAGCTTGAAGATAAAGGTCAAGAAATCACTTCCTCAAACATGGAGACAAGATCACCAAGTACTTCCATAGGATGGCCCCAACACACAAAAAAAGAATCAATTGAAAAATTGGAAGTAAATGGTAGAAAGTTGACTAATACTGATGAAATCGAAAAAGAGATTACCAATTTCTGTTAAAAACTCTACAAAAAACTGAGAATTGGAGGTGTGGTCTAAACTTATAAGTCATTGAAAGCATCAATTTGGAGGATTTGAGGAGGAATAAGTTGTAGAAGGAATCAAATTGTGTGCAAGCAACAAAGCCCCTGGCCTTGAAGATTTCCTATGAGCTTTTATCAAAACTTTTGGGAGATGCTCAAGGTAGATATCATGAATATTTCCAGACAATTTCATGATCAGCAGATCTTTGAGAGGAGCTTAGCAGGTCTTTGAGAAGAGCTTGAATGCCACTCATTGTTATCAAAGGCGCGTTTTAAGTGCGCTTAAGACCTGAAGCGACGCTTAAAAGGTGTTGAGCGCTTCGCCACACTTTATGTGCGCTTCAGTGTCATCACAAGGTTCTAAGGCAACGTTTCCTTGCCAATGAGTTTCATATGAAAAAGTGACACTAAATAACTGATATTTCACTTCGTAATAATTTTTTTTCAATTTATTTGGTCGTATATTTGACATTTATGTTTGTAAATATTAGTGTTGGACTAAACATAATATTTGTATGTTTTCTTCCTTTTTACCTTTTTTCATTAAAGCCCACACTTTATTTGCACTTAAAGCCCACACGACCTTAGAGATTTTTTGCACTTTTTGCCTTTCATAACACTGATGCTACCTTTGTGGCTCTTATCCCGAAGAAGACCGAGGCAGTCAGCTTAGGGACGTCGAACCCATAAATTTGTTGGGAGGGGTATACAAAATTATAACTTACTTCTAGCTGAGAGTTTGAAGAAAGTAATCAGCAAATTGGTAAAAAAATATCAAATGGCATTCATAAAAGGAAGATAGATCATGTATATGGCCCTTATTGATAGAGAATGTGTAGATACTTGACTTAGAGGGCTGACTCTGGAGTTATGTGCATGTTAGACATTATCATATCAACTGTGAGTTTCTTCTTAATATGTTAAAACAAATGGGGGTTGGTGAGAGATTGTTGAGATGGATTGAGTTCTGTATAAAAACTATTAGGTTCTCCGTTCTTATAAATGGAGAACCTACAGGGTGTTTTCCCTCAAAAAGAGGTCTCAAACATGGAGACCCTTTGTCCCCTTTCCTTTTCATCATAGCCATAGAAGGATTAAATAGTATGATAAGAATGGCTACTCAAAACTCATTGTTGCAAGGATTCAAAGTAGTTAATCTCTCAAGGGTGCAAATTTTGTCATTTGCTTTATGCTGACGACATTGTTATATTTTTTGAATGTAAGGATGAATAAATTAGAATTATCAAAATGATATTGGTAGTCTTTGAGGTGGTCTCAGGTTTGGCAGTCAATTGGATGAAGAGTTGTATATATCCCATCAAAGAGGTTACACAGATCAAGGCCTTAGCAAACATTTTGGGCGCAGAATTGAAAAACTCCCAATTATTTACCTAGGTATGTTACTTGGAAACAACCATAATGAGCTAGTGATATGGGATGCTATAATTAAAAAAAGTGAGAAGAAGCTGGCAAACTTGAAATCTCAATATCTATCCTTCAATGAGAGAACCATTCTGATAAACCATGTACCAGACTCTTTAACTACAATGTGATGTCCCTATTCCCTATGATGGCAAAAGTGGATGAAAGACTTGATAAATAAAGGAGATATTTCCTTTGGTCAAGAATAAAGGAAGGTAAAAGGATACATCTTGTTAAATGGCAAACTACTTTGTTGAGTAGAAGCTCAAGGGGGTTAGGTATTAGGGATAGGAAACCTGGGTCTACAAAACAAGTGCTTGTTGGAAAAATTGTTGTGGAGGTTTACTTTGGAAGGAAGTTATCAGTAACAAGTATGGCTAGAATAGCCCATGGATTTCCAATATGGTGAATATTCCATATGGTGTCTCGGTGTAGAGAACTATCAGGAATTTACAGGGCCAACTACAACATAATATTAGATATAAAGTGGAGAATAAGACCAGGATTCTTTTCTTGAAAGATCCCTAGATTGGTCAGGGCACATTGATGTCTTCCTATCCGGACATATATGTCCTCAGCTCGTCTCCAGATGCAATAATTAATGAGGTATGGTCGAAACAAGGGTGGAATGTCAGATTCAAAAGGTTACTAAATGACTGGGAGATAGGGAGAGTAGTCGATATCCTATAAACATTGGATGATGATTTCAAAGGCACTAATTGGAAGTTTATGTAATGATTTAGAAACACAATCATAATGGTATGTCGTAAGTCAGTAGATTGTACAATAGGAAAGTGAAGGAACTTCAGGGTAAATCTCTGGACCATAGAGTACGATATAGAAAAATAAAGTGTCAACTAAAGTGAGGTGTGAGAACATGGCTAGTGGCTAGAAGGGCATGCCTAACTCATGGCAAGCTGCAAAAAAATCTTTGAAATAGCTTCTTGGTGTTCTCTGGAAACAAATGAGACTAATAGCCATCTGATCCTCCATTGCCAAGTCACTGCTCAATTATGGGCCATTTTTCTAGGCAGAACACACAAACTGGAAAATGCCAGAACACATTGTTGACCTTCTCAGTTGCTGGGTGACAAGAGGGGGGAGTAAGAACTAGAAGAAATGGTGGAACATTATACCCTATTGTATATGGTGGAAGGACTTTTGGAGATAAAGAAACAAGAAATGTATGGAAAATACTGCAGAATCAGTACAAAATATCAAATGGCGTTGTATGAAGACCTTCTGTTTTTGGTATAATGAGGAGGGTATAGAGGATGCTGGACAGACTTTAAACTTTTTCTCCTCTTCATAAGTTTAATAGCAATTTGTTGAGTTAGTTTTTTTTTTGAGTCACTGATGTAAATATTTTGATAGTTGCCAGCATACCCTCATTGCTGAGGAATACAACTTTACTTTATTAAAAAAAGTTACAGAGAGGGAGGGTCATCATTGAATGAGTAATGTCACTATAAAAGTGTTAAAGCCATAATTTATAAAAAAGAAAGAAAATAATAACCTGAATAGATGTGTATTTTTGGGTAACTGGTGCTCGATCTAGCAGCATGAATTTAATCAATTTAGACGAATTAAGAGCTGTAAATGAAGGAGATAGCAATAAAATTGAGTTAGTTC